CATGAGGGGTGATGGGGCATGAGGGGTGATGGGGCATGAGGGGTGATGGGGCATGAGGGGTGATGGGGCATGAGGGGTGATGGGGCATGAGGGGTGATGGGTCATGTGGGGTGATGGGTCATGTGGGGTGATGGGGCATGAAGGGATGATGGAGCATGAGGGGTGATGCAGGAGTGATGGGTCATGCTGGTGTGATGAGATGGACATTGAGTCTGGACCAGAAGACATGGATGGACATTGAGTCTGGACCAAAGACATGGATGGACATTGTGTCTGGACCAGAAGACATGGATGGACATTGTGTCTGGACCAGAAGACGTGGATAAAATCATCAAAGTACTGGCGAAGTTTCCTGCAGCAGGACCAGATGGAGTCCCGGCAGTATTGCTAAAGGAGTGCGTCGGAGCGTTGACAGAGCCGCTTACAATCCTCTGAAAAACCACGTTGACGAAGGGAATCATACCCGAGGGCCTCAAAGTGGGACTGATAACGCCAATCCACAAAGGAGGTCCGAGGGACAGACCCCAAAATTACAGACCTGTGACCTTGACCTCACATGTGATAAAGGTTTTTGAGAAGGTAGTGGTCAGGAGGCTTGTCAAGTACATGGAAGAAGCTGAGGTAGGAGGAAGCCTGTTGAAGTGGATCCACAACTTCCTTACAGATAGAGTACAAACTGTTGCAAAAGAAAACTCGAAATCGAGAAAAGCGAGGATGAAAAGAACTTACCCACGCATCTGGATGACTAGAAGAGAACTTGCACACGCGAGGATGATTCGGAACTTACCCACGCATCTACATCGTCGTTGCGGAAGATACAAGAGTGCTGATGAAGATCACAGATGACCAAGACTGCGAGAGGTTACAGGATGACTTGTCGAAAATCTACTATTGTGTCCAAGTGAATGCGCTAGGTTCAGTGGTACCAAGTTCAGTGAATGAACTGCATTCAATGGAATGCAACTCAATGACACCAAGCTCGAAATAATTAGATGTAGAGTTGGCACAGAGGCTGGAATGCTGCATCGCTACTTGGCATCGGACGGCGTAGACATTAAGGAGAAGCAACTTGTCCGAGATCTCGGAGTGTTGATGAGTACCGAAGCAGCGTATGATGTTCACATCGAGGAAATAGTTGCGCGATGGAGACAACCGCTAGGATGGATTTGGCGGGCATTTCTAGCGAGAGAATCAGCGCCAATTATTATACTCCTCAGAGCCCTCGTGCTCCCCAATCTTGAGTACTGCTGCCAGCTTTGGGCGCCACACTCGGCAATTGGAGGCAGTCCAACATCTTCGCGTCCAGGATCAGTAGATGAGGGACCCGGACTACTGGGACAGGTTGGGGCATCTAGAACTGTACTCACTGGAGAGGAAAAAGAAAGATGTATAACATACTATGTATCAGGAAGATAATAATCAGACTGGCTTCCAACGAAAGAAGGGGGAAACTCAGCGGGATATCTCCATCTAACAACCGCGCTACGGCCAGAGTGAAGACTCTTCTGGAAGGATCTCTTTCCGCAGAGGATCCGAGGCTGTTCAACGACTTGCCGAAGGATTTGAAAGGGATATTTATTCACCAGTTCACAATTGCGACATTCAAGAGATGACTGGACGCGTTTTGAGCATGATCCCGGATTGTCCAGTTATATCCCTCTACCCTCAGCAAGGAACAAGCAGCAGCATCTTGCATCAGCTGACCCAAAAGAGGGTAGATAGACGGAACACGTCCAACATTACATCCGAGATCCGAGAGATAAGGAACCTGCTCATCGACGGCTTGGTGACGGAGGACGACGAAGGTGGCGCATCAGTGGGCTTTATACCAGGAAGTCCTAAACTTGACATTAGGACTTGGGAATAAGGAGCTGGTGTGTGGTATACTTATGGAAGCGTTTACCCTCTCGTATTGACCTCACGTCTTACCCTCACTTACATCCAGGTCTTAGAAGCATTTACACCCCAGGTCTTTCCCTCACTTACCTTCATGTCTTACCCTCACTTACACCCAGGTCTTACAAGCATTTACACCCTAGGTCTTATCCTTACTTACCTTCATGTCTTACCCTCACTTACCTCATGTCTTACACTTACTTATACTCAGGTCTTACACTTCCTTACTCTGATGTCTTACCCTCATGTCTTACCCTCTTTATGGTCTCTCAAGAGACACCCAGAGAAGGTCTCGCTCATCTCAGAGGCGCCGACCCTCACAAGGAGCCCTTTGTGAGGTGCCCTTTGTGAGTGCAGTCTGTCTGGGTCCAAGTATGCGCTCATTATGCATACTTGTTGTGAGGGCCAAAGTCCTCGGCGGGACTAATGGGCCCATGACACATTATTTGGGCCCATGACACATTATTTGGGCCCATGGCATATTATTTGGGCCCATGACGCATTATTTGGGCCCATGGCATATTATTTGGGCCCATGGCACATTATTGGGGCCATGCCATATTATTTGGGACCATTATTTGGGCCCCATGACACTTTATTGGGGCCCATGACACATTATTTGGGCCCACGTACCTTCCAATAACGTACCTTCTCTTAACTTCCCTTGACGTACCTTCCCTTAACGTACCTTCCCTTAACGTACCTTCCCTTAACGTACCTTCCCTTAACGTACCTTCCCTTAACGTACCTTCCTTGGAGTGAAGTGTGTCACAAGTGTGTCATGGAGTGAAGTGTGCCACAAGTGTGTCATGGAGTGAAGTGTGCCACGAGTGTGTCATGGAGTGAAGCGTGCCACAAGTGTGTCATGGAGTGAAGTACGTCATGGAGTGAAGTGTGCCACAAGTGTGCCACAAATAACCCTCCTCCCCCCTCTCCCCCAGCAATTCTTCGGGAGTTTCTTCGGGGGCGGCGCCTCCGATGACCCCCCGGGGGACACGACCCCCTCCACCCCCCTCCAGTACGAGGACCCCGACAACGACTACTACGAGTCCCCCACGGGGGGGAAGGACACCCCCAACGGGGGGGCGGACCCCCCCGCGTACCGTGACGATCTGGGGGCCAGCAGCTACCTGGACCTGACCCCCACGGGGGGACCGGGGGCCCACGGGGGGCTCACGGGAGGTGTGTTTAGTAGTGGGGGATTCGGGGGGCAGTTTGGGGGTTATGATCCCCGGGACTCTGGGACAGAGGGACGATACGATAACGGCTCCAGAGGGAGAGATCCTCCATATGGATACGACCAATCCTATCACTACTCCTATGGAGGTAATGGGTCAAACTATGATCCATATGGAGGGTCTAGGGGTTCTTATGACCCCTATGGAGAATCCGACCCCGAAGATCCATATGATGATTCCGATCCCGACGATCCAAATGGCAGATCCTCTTATGGAACAGGCACGGACCCTAATGATCCATATGGCAGAACGGACTCCAATGATCCATACGGCAGATCCTCTTATGGAACAGGCACGGACCCCAACGATCCATATGGCAGAACGGACCCCGACGATCCATATGGTAGAACAGACCCCAACGATCCATACGGCAGATCCTCTTATGGAACAGGCACGGACCCTAATGATCCATATGGCAGAACGGACCCCAATGATCCATATGGCAGATCCGACCCCGATGATCAATATGGCAGAACCGACCCCAATGACCCATATGGCAGATCGGACCCCAATGATCCATACGGCAGATCCTCTTATGGAACAGGTACTGACCCCAACGATCCATATGGAAGCCGGCCGGCGTCGGGGTATGACCCCTATGGGGGATACGGGGGCTCTCAGTCCCCCACCAGGGATGGGGGTTCGTCGGACCCCGCGGCGGGGGGTGGATTAACCCGTGAGGAATACGAGCGACTTCATGGATCTGGTGGACAATATGGCGGATATGGCGGGTCTGGTGGATACCCCGGCACTTCTGGCGGCCAAGACGGCGGGTATGGCGGGGCTGGTGGATACCCTGACAGTTCTGGTGGCCAGGGCGGCGGATATGGCGGGGCTGGTGGATACCCCGGCACTTCTGGCGGACAAGGCGGCGGGTATGGCGGGGCTGGTGGATACCCCGGCACTTCTGGCGGCCAAGACGGCGGGTATGGCGGGGCTGGTGGATACCCCGGCACTTCTGGCGGCCAAGACGGCGGATATGGCGGGGCTGGTGGATACCCCGGCACTTCTGGCGGCCAAGACGGCGGGTATGGCGGTGCTGGTGGATACCCCGGCACTTCTGGAGGTCAAGGCGGCGGGTATGGCGGTGGCGGAGGTGGGGGTGGAAGTGCACCCTGCAGTGGAAGAGACTGTTCAACCAGCGGAGGCAAATGCCAGTGCGTGGGGGAGAAGGGGTCGCGGGTGAGTAACCCTAGTCTTAATTATAGCATAACTAGTCCTACCCTATCAAAATTTTTAGTTGGTGGCGAGCCAGAATTAGGAACCGCCCAGGACTCGGACCGAACGTAAATCAGCTTCTCTAATGTCCGCTTTTTGGTCTACATTCCGGCCCCCGAATCAGACAGCTACCAGAGCCTGGTGAGGGGACTGAGGGGATTCTGCCAACTCTTGCCCTACTCTCAGGAGACTATAAAGTCGGCCAGGAGGTTCTGACTAGTCGCTGATTGCGATCAGTTGGCCAACTGACCCAGAATAACTTTGCGCCGAGTTTAGTGACTATTCGGCCGAAGCCTAGGCTGTCCCCGAATTTTGTTAGGGTAGTTGATCCGAACCAAATTTAGATGCTGGTCCGACTCTGCATCAGGCGCCGCCCAGGACTCGGGCAGCGCGCAAATCAGCCGCTAATTTCAGCTACGGCCGGGCTGACTGTGCAGCCTCTGAACAGCTTGCAAGCTCGACCTCAGGATTCACTTTTGTTCGGTGTTAATCTGGCGTCTTATAATATTCATTATGATTATACAATAAGATATGATCATCTGTAACTGAAACGTAATATTTACATCACGTGATAGAGATTGATGGAAAAGTACTAGACCTGAGTCAGCGTCTAGAGAACCTAACGTGATAGTCGTGATTCTATATAAGAGACTAGTTAGTAAGACACTTTCATGCGCCACCTGAGGATCGGGATACGTGACTAAGTTCGTGAGGGATAAGTAAGACACCATCTGTCTAGACAACTTATCTTGATAAGGGGTTGTTATACGTGTGAGATTTTTTATTAGTAAAAGACCAAGACCGTTAGGACTGTTACTGGAGGGGGGCCTTACTAAGGTTCCAAGCCCTTATATAGAATCACGGCTTTCGCCCTTTTATAGAATCACGGCTTCCGCCCTTTTATAGAATCACGGCTTCCACCCTTTTATAGAATCACGGCTTCCGCCCTTTTATAGAATCACGGCTTCCGCCCTTTTATAGAATCATGACTATAGCATCAAAGCTAACATCACTTCACGTGATGTTCTCCAACGTTGACTCATGTCTAGTACTTTTCCATCAATCTCTATCACGTCAAGTGAATATTATGTCGAAATTACAGATGATCACATCTTATTATTTAATTATTATGAGTATTATGAGACGCCAGATTGACACCGCACACTTGTCAAGCTTTCAGGATACACTTGGCATGTTCTGTGGACACTTTAAAGTCAGAGATGAGAATATGACCTGACGCAGAGTCCGATCGGGTGGCCAAACAGAACCTGAATCGCAATCAGCGACTAGTCACCCTAACAAAATTCGGGGTATGCTTCAGCCTCTGCCCCAGAGTTGCTATGTTCGCGTTAGAGTTATTCTGGGTCAGTTGGCCAACTGATCGCAATCAGCGACTAGTCAGAACCTCCTTGCCGACTTTATGGTCTCCTGAGAGTAGGGCAAGAGTTGGCAGAATAAGGACCAGGCTCTGGTAGCTGTCTGATTAGGGGACCGGAATGTAGACCAAAAAGCGGACATAGAGAAGCTGATTTACGTTCGGTCCGAGTCCTAGGCGGTGCCTAATTCAGGGTCGCCACCTACTCAAAATTTTGATAGGGTAGCGACTCTTGGGCAGAAGCCTGGGCGGTACCTAAATTATGTTAGGGTTGTGGCCTAGTTGAACATGAACTAGTGGCCCTAGTTGTAAATAAATAGGAATAATATGCGTTTAAAAACTATGTACTTTTTAAAGACAACACTTCTGAAGAATCCAGTGTATCCGATGTTACACATGTACAATGAATTCCCAATCTTATTAGCGAACATTACAAAAATTAAATTTTAAATTACATTTTTAGAAATAAAGAAATTAAAATTTTCAAAATTGTTTATTCTGTCAATTGATTCATGCATTGCCTCCGACTTTACGCAAGTGTGAAAAATTTCAAATCGATTGGACAAGTGAAGTTGTGTTAAATATTGATTTTAAGATTTATAACAGACAAACAAACATACAAACAAGAATTGAAGTTAAAGAGAAGTGTTGTAATAATAAACGTTATTTATTAAACTACTGAATAAAACTCATTTTAAATTGGCGCTAAAAATGCCTGAAAATTTTTTCAGAAAAAAAAACTCATTTTAAATTGGTGCTAAAAATGTATGGAAATTTTTGCAGGGTAGCCCTGGGCCTCCCGGGCCCCAGGGGGAGAAGGGGGGTCAAGGCTTCCCGGGGCCCGAGGGTCTCGAAGGGGCCAAGGGCTTCAAAGGATCGCCTGGACAGCAGGGCCCCACTGGGCCCAAAGGAAACAGAGTAAGTCTGATTTTTTAAGGTTATTTAAATTTTTTCACATATCCTTTTTTGACGAAAAAAAAACATTTAAATATTTTTTGGTAGTAAATTTCTTCGTACGGAAAGGCTTCAAAAAGTTCGTGGAAAATGTACATTACTGAAAACTATAAGAAAATAATATGATGTCAATGCACCAGAACGATCCTATTCCGATATACTTTAGATGGTGATACGGTTTTAAATAGTTACAGTACAGTATGACAGTTACAGTACAGTATACAGGGTTGTAATATAAGAGTTACAGTACACTATGAGTTGCACTAGTTACAGTAATTACTATTTACCCTAAAACTTTTACCCTAAACCCTTCAGGGTAAAATTGGGCTCAGGGTAAAATTACCCTAAATACTGTGCTTATAAACGATCACCAATAAATTATTATTTACCCTCAAATTTCTTCCTAAACCGGTCAGGTTAAAATAAAATTTAAAATGGAATTGAGGTATGGAATAAAATGGTATGAAATAAGAATTTACCCTGAAATTGAGGCTGGGAAATTCTTACCCTAAATTCTGTTCATATGAAATGATCACCAAAAATTATTATTTACCCTAAAACTTTTACCCTAAATCCTTCAGGGTAAAATCGGGCTCAACGGTTTCCCGGGCATCAACGGCATCCCGGGCATCCCGGGCCAAGCGGGCCCACCGGGCCTCCCGGGGGTCGACGGCTGCAACGGGACCGATGTGAGTGGGGCCACTTGACGGGACCAACGGGCCTGGGCACATTTAATGACAAAATTTGAAATTTAAGAAAATTTAGATGATATTGGATGAAAAATTGCAAAATCAAAAATAATTATTTAGATGATATTGGAAAATAAATTTAAAATATAAAATAAAAGAATAATTATTTAGATGATATTAGAAATTTCAAATAAAAGAAGATTTAGATGATATTTAAAAATAAATATAAATAAAACTTTTGTCCCCAGGGTGCTCCAGGCTACCCGGGCCAGCCGGGCCCTCCGGGCCCCAGAGGGTTCAGTGGGGCCCGCGGGGACAAGGGGGTCAAGGGGGAGCCCGCTATCAGCCCCCACCCGGACCGGCAGAAAGGGGAGAAGGGGGAGCCGGGGAGGAACGGGATACAGGGCCCCGTGGGGCCCAAGGGCCCACCTGGGGACACGGGTGACAGAGGTTTCCAAGGCCCACCTGGATTACCCGTGAGTGTTGGCCCATTTTATGGATTTATTTGTATAGATATTTTTAGACCCAATGTTTTTATAGACATTCATTGGGCCCAAAACTGTTGGGCCCATAACTGTTGGGCCCCATATTGGGGCCCAACAAGGGCACCATATTGGGCCACGCTTTAAACAAATCCCTCCCCATAGGGAGCTGTGGGGCCCAGTGGCCAGAAGGGCCAGAAAGGCGAGATGGGCCTGCAGTTTGTGGCCCAAAAAGGCGAAAAAGGCGAGCCTGGGCCCAAAGGCAACCCCAACGGCGGGCCTGGACCCTCGCCCTTCGAGAAGAACTGCACCACAACCATCGTTATCAAGGGTCGGGACGTGAGTATTGCGGGCCCGGGACATGAGTATTGCGGGCCCGGGACGTGAGTGTTGCGGGCCCGGGACGTGAGTATTGCGGGCCCGGGACGTTAGTAATGTAGCGTCTGGATGCATGTTTATGCCTCCAGATTTATTATATGTCTACCTGAGGATCTGGTTTCGTTGACTAAGGTAGTGAAGGATAAGTAAGACACATCAGTCCAGATAACGTATCTTGTATACGGGGTGGTAATACAGAGTTGTGATACAGAGGTATACGGGGTGGTAATACAGAGTTGCGATACAGTATACGGGGTGGTATTTACAGAGTTGCGATACAGTATACGGGGTGGTAATACAGAGTTGCGTTATAAGCTTCGCTTCCGCCCACAACTAAGGTCTTAAGGGCCATACTGAAGGTTGCTAGCCCTTATATAGCCTTCGCTTCCGCCCATTACTGAGGTCTCGATCACGTGATGTTGTACAGACGCTGACTTAAATCTAGTACTTTGCAATCAATTTCTATAACGTGTAATGAATATTATTATTATTATTACGAGTTATCTCTCCCATTTTACCCTCATTAACCCCCCATTACACCCACTAAACCCCATTCCCATCCTTATCCCCCCCCCTTCATTGTCCCTCTTTGCTCCCATTTCTCCCCTCCCTTTACCCCTTAACCTCCATTACCCCTTACCTCCCCTTACCCCCCTTAACCCCCCCTTAACTCCCTCCCCCCGCAGGGTCGGGACGGCGTAGACGGCGAGTGTGGGGAGAAGGGCCTCCCTGGGGCCCCCGGGGAGAGGGTGAGTCGTGGGGCCCTTAAATAATATTTGTAATATTATTCAATATTATTAATATTAACATTATCTTTAATATTATTCTTTTTTAAATATTATTAAATAATATGTTTAATATTACTAAATATAATTAAAACATAAAATAAATAGAAATTTAGTATATAGTGTAAAAATTATAAAATTACGTATAAAATCGTAGGTTCGGTATAAATAATATATACGTATACATATAATAATTATTATAAATAGTATAAATTAGGTATAAAAATTTAATATTACGTTATTAAATAATAATATAAACTAAATAATTAGTTGAAATTATTTTATATATATATTAATTGAAATTAATAACTGAAAATTAATATTTACCAAAAAAAAATAGAAGAAATTTTTGAAATTAAAAAATTTAATAATTTTTAATTTTTTTGGACCCAGGGTCGAGATGGCCCACCGGGCCCAGCAGGCCCCATGGGCTTCAAGGGTGACATGGGGCCCCCGGGTCTTGATGGCCTCAGGGGCCTCAAGGGCATGAAGGGCGAGGCAGGATACAGCGGCGTCGACGGGCCCAAGGGCGAACGGGGCCCGCCTGGGCCCAGCAAGGTGACATACGTGGCCCTTATTATAAGCGGGCCACATTTTGACTATAATTATTCTAATCGAATTAATTATTAATTAATGTTTAAAGAAAATAACATTCACCATTAAAACAAAATTTCAATTTTTATTAGTAAAATTTTTTATTTAAATTAAAATTTTAATTCTAATATTTTTTTATTATATTTTTTATATAAATTTTTAGCCTTCATAAAAAATCAATTAATAACGAAATTTTTTAATTACTGCAGGGTGGCCCAATGGGCCCACCAGGGCCTCCCGGGACACGCGGACCGATTGGGCCCAAGGGCGTTGACGGTCTTGACGGAAGGCCCGGGCCTCCAGGTCCTCAGGGTCCACCAGGAGGGCCCGGTCTGCCTGGGTCTCCGGGACGAGAGGGTCTACCGGGCCAGAAAGGAGCGGCGGGCACCACGGGTCTAGCTGGTGAGTGGGCCCAGGCCCAATGGAATAATCATTGCACCTAGTGATAGATTTAGTCAATCATCTGGCCCAGTAAACGGGCCCAAGGCCCAGTCAATGCAAAACAGTATTAATATATGCATTGGACCCAAATGGCCCAATAAGCGCTTAATTTTGGGCCCATTTTCGCAGGTTTGCCGGGAGTGATGGGCCAAAAGGGCGTGGCTGGGCCCAGAGGCAACCCTGGCACACCTGGGCCCAAGGGCGACAAAGGATACGGTGTCCCGGTGAGGCCTTGAAATAAAGTCTGGGCCATGTCCCTTCCTTGTTTTGCTCACCCATGTTGTGTTCTAGGTTGTCCCACTGGGTGACCATGGGGCCCAAGGTGACCGTGGGGCCCAAGGGTGACCATGGGGCCCAAGGGTGACCATGGGGCCCAAGGATGACCATGGGGCCCTAGGATGATCGTGGGGCCCAAGGGTGACCATGGGGCCCAATGGTGACTGTGGGGCCAAAGGGTGACCACGGGGCCCAATGGTGACCGAGCCAATTGGGCCATAGGGCCCAATGTTGTGCCCCAGCTTTTTCCACTGACCCATGTTGTGTCCCCATCTGTCCCACAGGGCACTCCGGGCCAGGATGGGGCCCCCGGTAGAAGCGGGACTCCAGGTATGCGCGGCCCCCCGGGTCCACCCGGGCCCCAGGGACCACCTGGGGACAGTCAGATCGGCATCCGTGGGGACATCGGCGAGATGGGCCAGAAAGGCAACCCGGGCATCCCAGGACGACCCGGACGACCCGGCCTCAACGGTGAGCGGGACAGTGGCCCGGGAATTTCTTCATCCCTTTCAATCTACAATCTTTATACTTTTACCCTTTCAATTATGATTATTTGACCCCTTCATCATTAATTCTCTCACCCTTCGCTCATTCACCCTTTAACCCTTCACTGTTCCATCCTTTCACCCTTCACTCCTTCATCCTTTCACTCCTTCATCCTTTCACTCCTTCATCCTTTCATCCCTTCACCCTTGATTTTCTCACCCCTTCACACTTTAATTTTTCTCCCTTTCACCCTTACCTCTTTCACCCTTCACCCCTTCACCCCACTCACCTCCCTCCCCCCCCCAGGTGTGGATGGGCCCAAGGGGGACCATGGGGCCCAGTGCGTGTGCGACTCCTGCGAGAAAGGGGCCAAGGGCGAACAGGGTCTAGAGGGCCCACAAGGGCCCCAGGGCCTCAGAGGCGAGCGTGGCAGCCAGGGCCCACTTGGGGACCGTGGGGAGGATGGCCTCCCGGGTGTACCTGGCAGGCCCGGAAATGAGGTGAGGCCAGGGCCAGGGCCCAGTGAACATAGATGTTAAAAAATGAAATAACAGAAAAATAATAAATAAAATAAAGTAAAACAAAAACTAATAAAAGGTTAATAAATTAAAATTAAAATTAGCAGATAAATTATTTATTTATTAGCAATATTTAACCCCCCCCCCCTCATCCCCCTCAGGGTCCAGCAGGCATCCCGGGACAGCCCGGGCCCAAGGGCGAAAAAGGAAACACGATCGTGGGGCCCCCGGGCCCATTGGGTCTGAAAGGGGAGCGCGGGTTCCCCGGAAACAAGGGCAACCCGGGCCCAGCGGGCCTGCCGGGTCTACCAGGCATCGAGGGTCTGCAGGGTCTACCGGGCCGCAAGGGCGACCAAGGCAACCCTGGCTTCCCGGGTTAGACCCTAGATATTATTAGACCCTTTCTAGTCTCCCATTGTTGGGACAATAGACCCGGGAGAACTAGGTTATAGACCTAGGTTATAGACCCAGGTTATAGTCCCAGGTTATTGACCCAGGTTATAGAACAGGGTTTTAGACCCAGGGTTATAGACCCAGGTTATAGAACAGGGTTTTAGACCCAGGGTTATAGACCCAGGTTATAGACCCAGGTTATAGACCCAGGTTATAGACCCAGGGTTATAGACCCCGGGTTATAGACCCAGATTATAGACCCAGGGTTATAGACCCAGGGTTATAGACCCAGGGTTATAGACCCAGGTTATAGACCCAGGTTAGAGACCCAGGGTTATAGACCCAGGTTAGAGACCCAGGTTATAGACCCAGGTTATATACCCTGGTTATAGACCCAGGTTATAGACCCAGGTTATAGACCCAGTTTATAGGCCCAGGTTATAGACCCAGGTTATAGACCCAGGTTATAGACCCAGGGTTATAGACCCAGGTTATAGACCCAGGTTATAGACCCAGGTTATAGACCCAGGTTATAGATCCAGGTTATAGACCCAGAATATAGACCCTGGCTATAGACCCAGGTTATAGACCCAGGTTATAGACCCGGGAGACCCAGGTTATAGACCCAGGTTATAGACTCAGGTTATAGACCCAGGCTATAGACCCAGGTTATAGACCCAGGTTATAGACCCAGGTTATAGACCTGGGTTATAGACCCAGGGTTATAGACCCAGGTTATAGACCCAGGCTTATAGACCCAGGGTTATAGACCCAGGTTATAGACCCAGGCTTATAGACCCAGGGTTATAGGTGTTCATAGGTTCAAAAAAATTTTTTTTGGTAAATAAAATATTAAAATCATTACTAAAATTTTTATTTATTTAATTGAATTAAACTAAAACTAATTTAATTTAACATATTATTGACCCGTTTGACCCGCAGGGTCCCCGGGCCGTAACGGGCTCAAGGGCCAAGACGGCCGGTCCATCGTTGGGGACAAAGGAGACCGAGGCTTCCCGGGGGAGAACGGCAGGCCCGGGCCCCAGGGGCCCCAAGGCGACCGGGGCCAAGACTGTGATGAGCGAGACGTCCCGTTGCCCCCTAAGGGACTACCCGGGCCCCAGGGCCCGCCAGGACAGCCTGGGCCCACTGGGCCCGTGGGACCACAAGGCATACCCGTGAGTACTTCTTGATTAATAAATTCTTCATTATTTAAATATTAATTATTAAAATAAATATTATTAAATTAATAATTATTAAATTATTGATTATTAAATGATTGATTAATACATTATTGACTATCAAATGATTTATTATTAAATGATTGATTCTCAAATTATTGATTATTATATTATTATTAAAAATTGATATTTGAATTGCATTGATAATTAAAAGACTATTATTATTTGATGATCAAATTACATTTGTTATTAATAAAAACATAATTGAATATGAAATTAACAAGCTTGTTCAGTTGATAGTTCGTTAACTAACTAACTGATTGATCGTTAATTAACTTAAATAATATATAATTAATTAATTAATTAATTTCAATTTCTTCACTAATCATATATTCTATCAGCCATTTAATTTGACTCATTAATTTAATTAATTTAACTCATTCATTGTTCAATAATTGAACTTATTATTTGTTCATTAATTGTTCATTAATTTAGCTCATTAATTTAATTTAACCCATTTATTTAATTAATTTAATTCAACTCATTAACTTAATTTATTTAAATCGTTAATATAATTAATTCGATTTAACTCATTAATTTAATTAATTAAACTCATTAATTGTTCAGGGCGAGAAAGGCGACACCGGTTACCCCGGAAGGCCCGGGCCCCTCGGGGAAAGGGGCCTCCCTGGGCCCCGCGGGGAGAAGGGTGACTCCGGCATCCCCGGCACCGCGGGCCTTCCCGGGACCAAGGGCGAACCTGGACCCTACGGCTTCCCGGGACTCAAGGGTAAATTCCGGGACATGGAGTAAACTGCGGGACATGGGGTAAACTGCGGGACATGGGGTAAATTCCGGGACATGGAGTAAACTGCGGGACATGGGGTAAACTGCGGGACATGGGGTAAACTGCGGGACATGGGGTAAACTGCGGGACATGGGGTAAACTGCGGGACATGTGGTAAACTGCGGGACAAAGTGTAAACTGCGGGACATAGAGGTAAACAATGGACCCAAGGGTAAACTGCGGGACTTAGGGTAAGTTCGGAGCTTTAAATAAAAATTTTTAACTCGAATGATGGACCGTTGGACTTGAAGATTTTTGTCCAGGCAACGTTGTGAGAACGTCTGCGTTTAGAGCAGTTAGGGCTCTAAAATAAGTTTTCTATAGACGATTGAACAGAAAACGGAAAAATTTTCTTCCAGGTATAGCTATTTTATTTCCAAGGATAACTCCCGTCATTTACGAAAGGGTTGATGAGTAAAACGACCAAATTGGCACTATCTTTATCTCATTGTCAATGTATGGAAAAAAATAGAAATTAAATCAATAGTTTCCATTAGATCCCTAACGTGAACGTGATATTTGACTGTGCGTACACACTGATGTACACACGCTGCTGTACGTACACGCTGCTGTGCATACGCTGCTGTACGTACACGCTGCTGTGTGTACACACTGCTGTACGTACACACTGATGTACGTACACACTGATGTACACACGCTGCTGTGCGTACACACTGCTGTACGTACACACTGCTGTACACACGTTGCTGTACGTACACACTGCTGTACGTACACACTGCTGTACGTACAGACTGCTGTACTTGTACGTACACACTGCTGTACGTACACACTGCTGTACGTACACACTGCTGTACGTACACGCTGCTGTACGTACACACTGCTGTACGTACACACTGCTGTACGTACACACTGCTGTGCGTACACACTGCTGTACGTACACACTGCTGTACGTACACACTGCTGTGCGTACACGCTGCTGTGCATTACCAGTACTCCCCCTCTCGCCCCCTCCTCTCCTCTCTCCCTCTCTTACCCCCTCATCTCCCCCTCTCACCCCCTCCCCCTTCCCCCAACAGGGTCCAAGGGAGACCGGGGCCGCGACGGGCTGGGCCTACCAGGCCGGGACGGCTTCCCCGGGGCCCAAGGCCCCAAGGGCGACACTGGACCCGCCGGCTTCGCGGGGGCCCCAGGCGATCCAGGTGAGCGACCCAAGTCCTCTTTTTGGACCCCTTTAATGGGTCCCCTTGATTTACCCTTATTTGTGGTGTCTGTGAAGGCCTTACTTCACATGAGATGGAGGCCTTGGTCCCTAAAGCACCATAACCTCACGTGTCCTTGGTCCCAAAAGCGCCATAACCTCACGTGTCCTTGGTCCCAAAATGTCCCATTTTCAAGGCTTGCCCGGGATCACTGGTGAGAAGGGCGACCCAGGGGCCCCTGGCGTCAATGGATTCGATGGACCCAAAGGCGACACGGGCCCGCCAGGCCCTCCGGGCCTCATTGGGCTCAAGGGCAACACAGGAATACCTGGCTTCGATGGCCCCAAAGGTGAGGCCAAAGTTTTCGGGCAAATTTGCTTGCCTGCTAAAGTTAAACTTAACTTAAACTTGACTAAAGGCAAAATTGCGTCAAAATCAACGTATTGTTTAAGATAATTGAATTAGTGTTATATTAAAGGTGTTAATTATTTGTCGTATGTATGAATACAATGTAATTGTTATTTGTATTTCATGCATATAAGTTTGCTCGGTTGTTGAAAGTTAGACTTAACTTGAAATTACGCCAAAATCTAAGTATTATTTAACACAATTTGAATTAATGTTGAATTAAAGGTCTGATGCATTTGTCCTATGTATGAATACAATGTAATTATTATTTGTATTTCATGTATGTAAGTTCGCTAGATTGATGAAAGTTAAACTTAAGGCAAAATTACGTCAAAATCTACGTATTATTTAACACAGTGTGTATTAATGTTGAATTCAAATTCTTATGTATATTGTATGGGTGACTTCAATGTAATTGTTATTTGTATTTCTTGTATGTAAGTTAGTGGCCGTGTGCGTTGTTCTCGCTTCTGTATATTTTATGTATTGTATAATATCTTGTGTGGAATTCCCTTACCTTAATTTTAAGGGTAATATATACCTTAATTTAAAGGTAATAAATACCTCAAGTTTAAGGGTAACATATACCTTAATTTAAAGGTAATATATACCTCAAGTTTAAGGGTAATAAATACCTTACTTTTAAGGGTAATATATACCTTAAGTTTAAGGGTAACATATACCTTAAGTTTAAGGGTAATATATGCTTAATGTTAAGGGTAATTAGGGTAAGTTTAGCTCGGCCATATTTACCCTAAAATAAACCCCCCTTTAACCCTCCCCAGGTGACCCGGGCCAGCCGGGACAGCCCGGGCCCGCAGGGTTGCCCGGGTTCCCGGGAATCAAGGGCGAGATCGGCATTCGGGGCCTCCCTGGGGCCAAGGGCAACGCCGGCACCCCGGGCCAACCCGGTGAGTCCCCAGCCCGGGCCCCGGGCTCCGGGCCCCGGGCCCCGGCCCCAACCCTGACCCACTGAATATGTGAACATAAAAATTATATTCATTTAATTTACGATAATTTAAGACAAAAAAATAATATTTTACACCAATATTTTTACTAAAAGTTTTAATATAATATTAATTAGTTAAAAATATTAGTCAATATAATAAAATATAATATTAATTAAATATTATATTTCATATATTATATTGCTTATTTTCATCACGAAGAAAATCATCTTCATGTATCATTATGAGGCCATCATTCTAAATTATTACACGCAGGCCTCAGTGGAATGCCGGGTCAAGATGGCCTCCCTGGGCCCACTGGGCCTAAAGGAAGCCCGGGCCTCGCTGGACTGCCCGGAGAAAAGGGGGCCCAAGGCTTCCCCGGGCGGGACGGGCCCAAGGGGGAGCGGGGCTTCCCTGGGGCCATGGGGACACCCGGTGTCCCGGGCACCCCCGGGTTCGAGGGGGTCAAAGGAGAGGCTGGTCCCCGTGGGGCCACGGTACGTATGGGACCGGGCCCGATAATAATAATAATAGTAATAATATTAATAATAATAACAATAATAATAATAATCTTTTATTAACAGGGCCCACAAGGCATCACGGGCCCCGCCGCCGCCAAGGGCGAGGCTGGGCCCAAGGGGGAACCGGGCCTACCTGGCATCGCGGGTCTACCAGGTAAATATTGGGGCCCTGGCCCCGGCCATCGTTATTTGTTAATCCTGAATATTTTAGTCCTGAATATTTTAATCCTGAATATTTTAGTCCTGAATATTTTAATCCTGAATATTTTAATCCTGAATATTTTAATCCTGAATATTTTAATCCTGAATATTTTAATCCTGAATATTTTAATCCTGAACATTTTTTTAACAACAGGCCTCATGGGCCCAACTGGTCTCCCGGGGCCCAAAGGCCGTGACGCCTTTGGCCCCATCGGTCCACAAGGCGACAAAGGAAACCCCGGGCCCTTCGGGCCCCCAGGCATGGATGGCTTCCCTGGGGCCAAAGGCAACTTCGGGAGCCCGGGCCTGCCGGGTCTACGGGGGGTCAAGGTAGGCAGGGTCTTGCGGGTCCGTGGTCTCATTAACTATTAATGACATTAACTAATTAACTAATTAACTAAGTCTCATTAACTATTAAAGTCTAATTAAGCAGGTAATGAGACTTAAGCTCAAATAACATGTCTAATTAAGCAGTTAAGGAGACTTAAACCGACTTAACATGTCTAATTAAGAAGTTAATGAGACTTATGGTTAATTAACATGTCTAATTAAGCATTTAATGAGACTTAAGCCTAATTAACATATTTAATTAAGCAGTAATTACCACAGTCACCTAATTAGCGGGTCCACTTAGGGTTCAACACAACTTGAGTTAAAGTTAATTAGTTTAATTATTAACCGGTCCCGCTCCCCAGTTAATTTATTTGGTTAATTAGAAGTTAATTAGTTTAATTAGTAACCTCTCCCCCTTTACACCTCCCAGGGGGAGCCAGGTTACCCCGGGCCCAAGGGGGAGGACTGTCCATCGTCAGCGGGTCCACCGGGCCCCATGGGGCTGCCCGGAGTGAAAGGCGAACCCGGCTTCTCTGGACGCGATGGGCCCAAGGGCGAACGAGGCCTCCCAGGTGGGCCAATCTTTGGGACTTGGTCCCTTAGGGCCAATCTTTGGGACTTGGTTCCTTAGGACCAATCTCTAGGACTTGGTCCCTTAGGGCCAATCTTTGGGACTTGGTCCCTTAGACCCGGGGCCCAAATTTAGGGATTAGGGAAATACATGAATAATTTAATATTGATTTAGTAATCAAATGTAATAATAAATAAATAAATTAGTAATAACTTGATTAAAGCAATGCAAATTGTAAAGAAATTTTAATATTTTTAATTATAATTGTAATAAAATTAATTATATTTTAAATAAATTATATTTATTAATTATAAAGAAATTAGAAATTAGTTATAAAGAATGAATTATAAAGAAATTAATTAGAAACAATGAACCCCGAGGTCGGTCTAAACCCTAGGGTCGGGGTTTATACTGAACCAAGATTTACCCTGACCCATGCAACCCTAGGGTTCCATCCTTGGCCGTAATCCTAGGGTTGCATCCCATGCTTGGCCGAAACCCTATCGTTGACCCCAGCCTTGGTCGTAACCCCATTTCGACCCTCAGGGTCCGCCTTAACCCCATTTCGGACCCCACAGGATTACCAGGAGCGGACGGTTACCCCGGTATCCGAGGTGAGCCCGGGCCCATCGGTTTCCCGGGCGTGTCCCAAAAAGGACAGAAAGGCGAGCCGGGCCTCGTGGGGCCACCCGCTCCCCAAGGCCGACCCGGTCTCAACGGAAGACCCGGACTCGATGGGCCCAAAGGGGACCGCGGGTTCCCGGGACAGCCTGGTCAGCCCGGCGGACTTTGCGAAAAAGGCGTTCGGGGCCCAGTGGGGCCACCGGGCCAGCCGGGTCTACCGGGTCTTTCGAGCGTCGGGGAAAAGGGTCTACCTGGGATGCCGGGTAAGCCGGGTCGCAATGGCCTCGACGGCAGTCCCGGCGAGAAGGGAAATATGGGCTTCGCGGGTCTACCGGGCCAACGGGGCCCGCCTGGCACTCCCGGACAGGCTGGGGCCAAAGGCGAAAGAGGAGATTTCGGTCTCCAAGGCCTTCCTGGGCCCATTGGAAATCCGGGCCTCAATGGAAATCCGGGCATTGACGGGGCCCCAGGAGTGGCAGGCCCGAAAGGAGATCGTGGATATCCCGGCGCTCCTGGGGCCCAAGGGCCCCAAGGTGTCTCTGGGCCTACCGGTCTGACACTGCCGGGCCAGCCTGGACAAAAAGGCGAGCCGGGCCCTCCTGGAAGACCGGGCCCAGACGGGCCAGTGGGCATCAAGGGCGACATCGGCATCGCAGGACGAGCGGGACAACCGGGCCTGCCTGGGCCAAAGGGCGATCCTGGGTTCCCTGGGCCTCCGGGTCTAGTGGGCCCACCTGGAAACCCGGGCCTCAGAGGCAACACTGGGGCCCGCGGACTGCCTGGGGTCAACGGGCCTCCTGGAAGCCCTGGCCTCCCTGGGCCTCCCGGGCCCAAGGGCGAGCGAGGACTCGATGGCCTCCAAGGCATCCAAGGGCCTCCTGGGGCCAAGGGCAGCGTGGGCCTTACCGGCATCCCTGGCAGAATTGTGAGTAGACATGATGGACATGATGGACATGATGGACATGATGGACATGATGGACATGATGGACATGATGGACATGATGGACATGATGGACATGATGGACATGATGGACATGATGGACATGATGGACATGATGGACATGATGGACATGATGGACATGATGGACATGATGGACATGATGGACATGATGGACATGATGGACATGATGGACATGATGGACATGATGGACATGATGGACATGATGGACATGATGGACATGATGGACATGATGGACATGATGGACATGATGGACATGATGGACATGATGGACATGATGGACATGATGGACATGATGGACATGATGGACATGATGGACATGATGGACATGATGGACATGATGGACATGATGGACATGATGGACATGATGGACATGATGGACATGATGGACATGATGGACATGATGGACATGATGGACATGATGGACATGATGGACATGATGGACATGATGGACATGATGGACATGATGGACATGATGGACATGATGGACATGATGGACATGATGGACATGATGGACATGATGGACATGATGGACATGATGGACATGATGGACATGATGGACATGATGGACATGATGGACATGATGGACATGATGGACATGATGGACATGATGGACATGATGGACATGATGGACATGATGGACATGATGGACATGATGGACATGATGGACATGATGGACATGATGGACATGATGGACATGATGGACATGATGGACATGATGGACATGATGGACATGATGGACATGATGGACATGATGGACATGATGGACATGANTGCTAGGTGGGTCAGGGTGCTAGGCCTGGCAGCCTGGCTGGTCCCAGTCTCTGGCTGGTCCCAGTCTCCGGCTGGTCCCAGTCTCTGGCTGGTCTCGGTCTCTGGCTGGTCCCGGTCTCTGGCTGGTCCCAGTCTCTGGCTGGTCCCGGTCTCCGGCTGGACCCGGTCTCTCCGGCTGGTCCCGGTCTCCCCCACCTCTTCATCCACTTCTCACCCCCCCCATCTCCCCCACAGGGATGGCGGGGTCCTGCATCGCCAGGTTCTCCACGATGCCCTTCTTCCCCCACTTCTCACCCCCATCTCCCCCACTCCTCACCCCCATCTCCCTCACAGGGATGGCGGGGTCCTGTATCACCACTAAACTTACTCCCCCACTCGTCCCCCACTTCTCACCCCTATCTCCCCCACAGGGATGGCGGGGTCCTGTATCACCGGACCGGCTGGTCCCGGTCTCACTAACTTACTCCCCCATCCTCCCCCACTTCTCACCCCCATCTCCCCCACAGGGATGGCGGGGTCCTGCATCGCCATTAAACTCACTCCCCCACCTCTTCCCCCACTNAGCCTATACCCATGATGCCGGTGGCCGACACCGCCATCAGGCAGTACATTTCCAGGTATGTAGGGGCCCCACTCACTGCCCACTCTATCACCCCACTCAATCATCCCACTCATTCACCCCACTCAATACTGGCTCTCCACCAACGAGCCTATACCCATGATGCCGGTGGCCGACACCGCCATCAGGCAGTACATTTCCAGGTATGTAGGGGCCCCACTCACTGCCCACTCTATCACCCCACTCAATCATCCCACTCATTCACCCCACTCAATACTGGCTCTCCACCAACGAGCCTATACCCATGATGCCGGTCGCCGACACCGCCATCAGGCAGTACATTTCCAGGTATGTAGGGGCCCCACTCACTGCCCACTCTATCACCCCACTCAATCATCCCACTCATTCACCCCACTCAATACTGGCTCTCCACCAACGAGCCTATACCCATGATGCCGGTGGCCGACACCGCCATCAGGCAGTACATTTCCAGGTATGTAGGGGCCCCACTCACATCCCACTCTAATACCCTCCCAGCCCCACTCACTGCCCACTCAATACTGGCTCTCCACCAACGAGCCTATACCCATGATGCCGGTGGCCGACACCGCCATCAGGCAGTACATTTCCAGGTATGTAGGAGGACATCATACTAACGCCCGCCCCCATCATACATGATGGACGATCATGCTAATGCCCGCCATCATCGTCCATCACGCTAATGCCGACCCCCCATCATACATGATGGACGGTTATGCTAACGGCCGCCCCCCCTCCCCGAAACCCTGTTCAAAAAACGGCATAACTTTAAAAAAACGTTTAAAAAAAAGGCGATTGGACCGGCGTTTTACAGTGGTCAACCGCCTCGCAAAATTTAATCACGATATTTTGTTATCCTCGAAAAAAATAGCATTTGATTCCATTTCACTCGGTGGTCAGTCAATAAAAGACCGGTAAAAGCGTTTTTTATAGCGTTTTAAAAAGTTTAGGGTTTTTTTGAACGTTTTTAGCATTTTTTAGCTCTTTATTCACAATCACCCCACTCACCCCACTCACCCCACTCCCCCGCAGATGTGTGGTGTGCGAGGCCCCCACTAACGTGCTCGCAGTCCACAGCCAGTCCCTCAACATCCCCGAGTGTCCCAACGGCTGGGCGGGACTTTGGATCGGCTACTCCTTCGTCATGGTGGGTCAACCTGACACATTTAGGGGGTTTCTTCTTGGTGGGTCATCCTGACACACTTAGTGGGTTCCGTATCCATGATGGGTCATCCTGACACACTTATTGGGTTCCGTATCCATGATGGGTCAACCTGACACACTTAGTGGGTTCCTTCATCATGGTGGGTTAACCTGACACACTAAGTGGGTCAGTACGCCACACTGGGCAGGGTGGCCCAGTGGTTACAGTTCAGAGTACCAAGATTGTAGCAGTGATCGAGTTGCGGGTTCGATCCCAGCTCTGTGCGCCAGTTTCTGGTCAGAATCGGTGACCCTAACAAAATTTAGAGTCGCCCCAGCTTCTGGTAATCCAAATCATAAGCTGCCGCGTCTAAAAAGCATCATCGGCGAGGAGGCCGGGCGGTTAAGCACAGCAGAATTGTAGCAGTGAGTTGCGAGTTCGAGACCGCAACAAGCTGTGAATGTTCTGCGATGTTAAGAATCGGCGACAGGCCTACGGCCTAATAAACGCTGAAACCGCTATTTTTGTTATTATTATTATTATTATTATTATTATTATTATTATTATTTATTATTATTTATTATTATTAATATTATTATTATTATTATTATTATTTATTATTATTATTATCATTATTATTATTATTATTAATATTGGTCCATCACCACCACATCACCACCATCACCACCATCACCACCTCCTAATTCAATATCCTACGTGCAGCACACGGCAGCAGGAGGCGAAGGAGGGGGCCAAGCTCTAAGCAGTCCCGGGTCCTGCCTTGAGGACTTTAGAGCCACGCCGTTCATTGAGTGTAACGGAGCTAAGGGAACGTGTCATTATTTCGCCAACAAACTGTCCTTCTGGCTGGCCACTGTCAGCGACAGGGACCAATTTGCGGGACCGGTCCCGGAGACACTCAAGGCGGGGAGTCTCCGGACCCGAGTGTCCCGCTGCAAGGTCTGCATCAAGAGCTAGGGACCCTGCTGGAGGCCCCGGAGAGGGGCCCCGAAGGGGAGGCCCCAAAGGGGAGATCCTGAGGGGAGTAAGAGGCCTCGGAGGGAGGGCCCAAAGGGGAGTTGAAAGGCCTCGGAGGGAGGCCACGAAGGGGACTTTAAAAGGGAGATAATGAAGGCCCAAGGGCGGACTTAAAAGGGATATAAGGGAACCAAGGGGGTATTTGAACGGTACTTAATAAGGTTCCAGATGAGACTTAAGCGGGATATAATGAACACAAAGGATGGACTTAAACGGGACTTGAAGGGGCCTTAGGACAGACTTGAAAGGAGGGTTAATGAAGCCTCATGGGGACTTGAATAGGAATTAATGTTGCCCCTTGGGGACTTGAATACAGGAAGAGGGGGACTTGGTCTTAAGGGGAGGGGCTAGGGGTAAGAAAGAGGTTTAGTATTTGCGGTATTTCATAAAGTAATTTTTCATCTGTAATCGCGTATATTTTTATACATTCGGCACCATATTTTTCTGTATGGCATTTGTGTGCTAAATTTTTTGTAATTCAATGCGCCAGATATTTTAGCTGTGGCATCACTGAATAAATAATTATTGGTCCTTGAAACGATTATTAAAGGGACCTATCGCTGCCACAGCTCATTTTTTAGATACTAATCACTTTAAATTAATTGGCGATATAGAAAATTTTAGTGAAAATTTAACAAAATAAATTCTAGGTTTAAAGAAAAAAGTTTAAAAAAACTTGAGCTTCCGCAACTCCGGAGTTTGTGCCAAAAAATTTCGGTAACAAAATTCGATTACAAATTTCGAAATTATTTGACATTAATGAAAAGATTTGCTAAAAACTGTGAAATTATTGAATGTTAATAAAGTTTTAGCTAAAAAGATAGAAATTTCGAATATTTATTCCTATTTAGTTTATTTTCCTGGAGCTTTTTTAGAATTTTAAAATAAAGTTTATTAGAATTTCGGCCTTAGGTCAAGGTCTAAGGAGTTATTTAGCCTTAACAATGACACCAGTGTAAATAATATAAAATGTTAGATTTTAATTAAAGTTAAGGTTAAGGCTAAGGTTAATCTTAAGGTCGTTAGCATTACGCTTCTAGTCCGTTGCCATTTGCTTGTTTTTTTACATTATTTTATAAGATCCAATACTGCCAATACCAGAGACCCTGCGCCAATCACTGTCAGTTTAACTGTGCCAATCATTGTCTGTTTTTTACATTATTTTTTAAGATCTAATTACTGCCATTACCAGAGACCAAATTATAGCCAATACCAGAGACCCTGTGTCAATCACTGTCCGTTTAACTGCGCCAATCACTGTTAGTGTAACTGCGCCAATCACTGTCATTTTAACTCTGCTAATCACTGCCAGCACTCGCACCTTCACTGCAGTAAACGTCTCGCCAGCGCCGCTATTTTATTGTCCCACCAATCAGCCAATAAGTGGCCTATCAGGAAGGTCTTTCAGGTGCCAATCAGTGGCCAATCATGTGCCAATCAGTGGCCAATCAGTGGCCAATCATATGCCAATCAGTGGCCAATCATGTGCCAATCAATGGCCAATCATGTGCCAATCAGTGGTCCATCATGTGCCAATCAGTGGCCAATCATGTGCCAATCAGTGGCCAATCAATGGCCAATCATGTGCCAATCAATGGCCAATCATGAGCCAATCAGTGGCCAATCAATGGCCGATCACTGGTCCTTCAGGAGCCAATTAAAACTAATCAGGCGCTGTTGACGTCATCAGCGCATCAGGACATAATCGGATGATGGGGGGATGGGGGTGATGATGATGTGGGGGGGGGAGGGATGATGATGGGGGTGCGGGATTAATCTAACAAGTCACAAAAAGTATAAGAATCGGCGACAGGCCACATCACATTTCAGCGCCGACATCACTATGTTATGTTATGAAGGGGGAGAAGAGGCGGGATGATGATGGGGGAGAGAGAGCAGAAACGGAGGATGTGTGCTGCGTGTCACCACTTGCGACTACCACAGCACTTAGCTCACTGTAGTAGTTAGCTACGGTGGTCGTACTTATATAATAATAATAGCGGTTTCAGCGTTTATTAGGCCGTAGGCCTGTCGCCGATTCATAACATCGCAGAACATTCACAGCATTTTGCTGTCTCGAACTCGCAACTCACTGCTACAATTCTGCTGTGCTTAACCGCCCGGCCTCCTCGCCGATTCTGACCAGAAACTGGCGCACAGAGCTGGGATCGAACCCGCAACTCACTGCTTCAATCCTGGTACTCTGAACTGTAACCACTGGGCCACCCTGCCTGTTGTGCTGTTGTACGGTGGTCGTAAGTTATGCGGTGGTCGCAGGTTGCACAATCGAGGCCTTTGCCTATACTTTCAAAAAAAGTTAAGAGATCGTATGTTCATAAACCAATCACTAACACCTCTTAAGCAAAATTCACCAATCATGGAGAAAAAAATAAAGCGTAAGTACCTACGTTCACTGAGCGTGAGCGATTTTAGCGATTTTTGAAAGTATGGCCCCTTGTCATCACAGTTTACGGCTCGCACTTCCAATGACATAATATTATTTGAAGACAAATATCTTCCAAAGTTCGTTATCAGTCGTCGTCGTGTGCCAATGCAATGCTAAGCCTGATTAATCAATACATTCCGTAATTTCCGTTGGCCTATCGTCCAATTTATTAGGGTACCCCATAAATAAACTTTCTTTGAGATAGAAAACTTTCACGTTTTCTATTTTGAGGAGAAACTAAATCTAAATTTCTACTCGATATTCATAATTCAACACGTGTCGATGTTATTGCCTGCGGCAGGTTGTTTATCAGTTGAGTTTAGTTAATTCAAATTAAACGTGATCAGCTGATACAAATTTTCGCTGAATCTAATGAAAAAAGAATAATATTGATTTAATAATAACGATATCTTTGTTGAAGCTTATAAAAAATATAATCAATTTTGATTTCATGTTTTGAATAAGAATATCATATTTTATGAACCAAGTTAAGGCCTAAGAATGTATAAATAGTTTTTTTCCAGTTAATGGAATGGAATGAAAAGAAATTTTCAATCAAAAACTTTATTTTAAAAACGGAAATCAAGGCAACATTTTTGTACGAAACTTAACTTTAAAATCAGCCAATAAAGCCATGCTAAAGAAGCAAACAATCAACATATTTGAGCTGTACTGGTGGCGGGTGGTGGGTGTGACGGGGGGGCAAGACGGAACGCCGGCACCGAGTACCTGAAATTAAATTAATTGGTAATTAATTTATAGCGATAAATTTTGGGAACTAAACGAAATAATGTGAAAGATAATGTGAACGATAAATTTTGGGAAGGTAAGGACAGAATATTGAAGGAAAATTAAACGATATATTATGGGAACTGAATGAAAGAATATGGGAGAAAATATGAACGGTAAATTTCGGGAAATGAAAGAAAGAATATCGAACAAAATGTAAGCGATATATTATGGGAACTGAACTAAAGAATATTGAAGGGAATGTATACGATAAATTGTGGGAACTAAACGAAATAATTTGGAAAACAATATGAACGCTATATTAAGGGAACTGAACTAAAGTATATGGAAGAGAATGTAAACGATAAATTATGGGAACTGAATGAAAGAATATGGAAGAAAATCATGAACGATATATTATGGGAATGAAAGGAAAAAATTTGGAACAAAATGTAAACGATATATTATGGGAACTGAACGAAAGAATTGGAATGAAATGTGAACGATAATTTTTGGGATATGGATGAAATAATAAGAAATAAAATGTAAGCGATATGTTAAAGGAACTGAATGAAAGAATTTGGATGGAAAAATAAACGATATATTATAGGAACAGAATGAAAGAATATGGGATGAAATATATACGATAAATTTTGGGAACTGAGGGAAATAATATGAAATAAAATGTAAGCGATATAATATGGGAACTGAATGAAATAATATGGAAGGGAAAATCAACGATATATTATGGGAACTGAATGAAAGAATATGGAAGAAAATGTTAACGATATATTATGGGAAAAGATATATTATGCGATAATATATCGATGCACTTTTTTCCGTTTTGTGGGTCATCCTGACTCAGTTTAGCCCGGCAAAAGGCCGTATCAGTGCTACGTCCGCTCTCACTGCTAGTGCTGTGTTAGGAAAGTTTGTTATTATTAAGGCAATTTGACCCATTTATTGCAGGCAGTGTTACACTCAATTAAATAATGAGTCAAGAAAATAAAAATATATATTAATACTAAAAAAAATAAAAGTCCCTCAATTTTTTTGAGTGACAAGGGCCCCTCAGGGGGGCCCATGAGTGGGTCAAAACGACCCAGTTTAAGGCCCCACCGCTGCCTGGGGACGTTGTAGGGCCCCGGGGACGGAGGCTCTTCCCCAAACCCTGAGTTGAAGGCCTGGGCGGGGGGACGGGTCACTCCCCCAGGTCACTCACCGCCCACAGGGCCACCACTCCCCCGATGGCCGCCCCCCACGCGACGTCCCACCCGTCAGCGTGGTACGTCACCCAGCGGTGCAGTCCCCCAATGGCGGCCATGACACCCACGGGGAGGGAGAGGAGTCCCCCAGAGCTGTAGGTGCCCTTGAGCTGACAGGTGTACATAAGGTACAGTACCAGGAATGTACCCCTGAAAACAAGTACCAAAAAATTATATTATTAAATAAAAAATATTATATTAATTAAATATATTTCATTATTTTGTATATTATATATATTAAATAAATAAATAAATTAGCTACAGTACCAAAAAGTAGCCCTGAAATGGAGGTAAATAATAGGTACCCAGGGCATGGCCCCAGGCCACAGGCCCCAGGCCCCAGGCCACAGGAGGCCCCAGGTCCCAGGTCCCAGGTCCCAGGCCCCAGGCCCCAGGTCCCAGGCCCCAGGTCCCAGGTCCCAGGTCCCAGGTCCCAGGTCCCAGGTCCCAGGTCCCAGGTCCCAGGTCCCAGGTCCCAGGTCCCAGGCCCCAGGCCCCAGGCCCCAGACCCCAGGCCCCAGACCCCAGGTACTCACGCGTAGAAGGCAAGGGTGGCATGGTACGAGGGGAAGGATCTGAGGGACTCCCTGAGGGCGGGCCAGTCGGCGGTACTGCAGGAGGAGCTGACGTTGAAGAGGAGGTTGCCGGGTAAGGTGGCCCCATCACACACCGCGAGGAAGTGGGGGCGTGGTTTGGGGATTAGCAGCTTCAGAAAGGCTGCCGCCATCCCCGCCAGGGACCCATAGAAGAGGAAGACGTCTGGGGGGGGCAGATAGGTGGGGAGGTTATGTCAGTAGAGGGGCAAGAGGAAATGGGTACGTCGGGTGAGGGGAGGATAGGTTGAAATGGGCGACGTCTGAAAAGGCTAAGGGGAGGGGGAGGTTATATCAGTAGAGGGGCAAGAGGGAATGGGTCCGTCGGGTGAGGGGAGGATAGGCTGATATGGGCGACGTCTGAAAGGGGGAAGGGGAGGTGGGGGTTCTGACAGTAGGAAGGGCAGGATGGAGGGGGTCCATCCGGCGAGGGGAATATAGGTTGATATGGGCTGCGTCTGAAAGGGGGAAGGGCAGGTGGGGGTTATGTTAGTAGGAGGGGCAGGATGGAGGGGGTGACGGGAAGATAGGTTGATATGGGCTGTAGATAGAGGGGATGGCGTTCGTTGGGATAGAGAGGGGATGGCGTTCGTCCGACTGGGAAGAGGTGGTTAGATAAGCGCTTGATTCACAGGACATACTTGTCCTGGGCGGTCGCTGTTGCAAAGTCGGGCCCGCATCTAAATTTTGTTAGGGTAGTTATATACTTGGTGAGACATGTCCTACTAGATAAGAGGCCTTCATAGTGACGGTCTCAGATAGGCCTATTAAAAGCCTCGGACAATTAATGGTAATTAAGGATAAATTAGACCTAATCGAGCTCACAGTAGAAGCGGAGAGTGCGGCGCACGAAAGGGGGGAAGGGCAGATCGAAGCTCACGACGTTTTTGATGTGCCCCCGGGGGAACTGACGCTGCACCAGCTCCACTACCAGCGTCTGCGGAGATGGACAGGGAGGAGGGGGTTAATGGGGGAGTTGGGGAAACTGATGCTGGATCAGCTGAAGTTATGGTTGACTTGGGGGGTATCAGGGGGGAAATTCATTTCACCGACCAAAGGTGAGTGTGTTGCGACTTAGGTCTGCAGTGTTATGGCTGGTCATCACCCAGGAGGCCTGGGCCTGCTGGTGGGATGGCTGGTCATCACCCAGATGACGTGGGCCTGCTGGTGGAATGGATGGCCTTCACCCAGGAGGCCCGGGCCTGCTGGTGGGATGGCTGGTCATCACCCAGATGACCTGGGTCTGCTGGTATGATGGCTGGTCATCACCCATTAGGCCTCAGCCTGCTGGTGGAATAGCTGGTCATCACCCAGGAGGCCTGGGCCTGCTGATGGGATGGCTGGTCATCACCCAGGAGGCCTGGGCCTGCTGGTGGGATGACTGGGCATCACCCAGGTTGCCTGGGCCTGCTGGTGGGATGGCTGGTCATCACCCAGGTGGCCTGGGCCTGCTGGTGGGATGGCTGGTCATCACCCAGGAGGCCTGGGCCTGCTGGTGGGATGACTGGGCATCACCCAGGTGGCCTGGGCCTGCTGGTGGGATGGCTGGTCATCACCCAGGTGGCCTGGGCCTGCTGGTGGGATGACTGGGCATCACCCAGGTGGCCTAGGCCTGCTGGTGGGATGGCTGGTCATCATCCAGGAGGCCTGGGCCTGCTGGTGGGATGACTGGGCATCACCCAGGTTGCCTGGGCATGCTGGTGGGATGACTGGGCATCACCCAGGTGGCCTGGGCCTGCTGGTGGGATGGCTGGCCATCACCCAGGAGGCCTGGGCCTGCTGGTGGGTTGACTGGGCATCACCCAGGTGGCCTGGGCCTGCTGGCGGGATAACTGGGCATCACCCAGGAGGCCTGGGCCAGCTGGCAGGATGGCTGGCTATCACCCAGGAGGCCTGGGCCTGCTGGTAGGATGGCTGGGAACACCCAGGTGACCTGGGCCTGATGGTGGGAGGGCTGGCCATCACCCATTAGGCCTGGGCCTGCTGGCGGGATGGCTGGTCATCACCCAGGTGGCCTGGGTCTGCTGGTGGGATAGCTGGACACAACCCATGGGGACGCGGGTTCGATGCCCCGTATGGGAGGGTACCCGCGTGGCCGTGGGCGGTTCCCGCCAGCCAGGGTAACATATTCGCTACTCATTGGACAATATACCCATTATACCCATGAGCAAGAGGGCTATTGTACCCACAGGTTGTTCTACCCACCAGTAGGAGGGGCACCACGAAGAGGGGCACAAAGAAGGCGTACTCCTGCATGGTGAAGGAGACCCCGAAAGAGTACTCGTTGTTTTGGTTGTCGGCGAGGGAGAGGGAGTAGTTGTAGTAGGGGCGAGGGGGGAGCACATCGCTGGGGGAGAGGGTCACGCGAGGGTAGTCGGCCAGGCTTGAGGCGTCACGTGTTTTGGGGTCGAACCTGGGTTGTAGGGGTTGGTTTAACGTGAATATGGGTTGATTTTATGAGGTGAAATGGTAATTGGGAAGTGGTATGGACCCCTTCACCCCTATTTTCCCAGTTTCTTTTAACCTCTATGACCACCAACCATTCCCCTATGACCAGAAAAACCCACTAAACTTTTTTCACCATACCTACGCTCTGCGGTCGCCATATTGTAACAAAATTTGTGGTCAGCCTATGACTCTGGCCTAGAGTCGCTACAATCGCGTCGAAATTATTTTGGGTCTGCTTGGCCACCCGAACAAAGTCAACGACTTTAAAATCTCATTGCCGACTATGTAGTCTTATGACTATATATATGAGAGTCTAGCCTCATATATGTCTTGCCTCTTATATAATCTATAAAAGTGACTATTAATAAATCTCCCAAGCCTACTGGCTGCCCAGAGGTTTCATTTTGAATGGGAATGTGAATGAAAAAAAGAAAAGTGAATGGGTAATATTGTCCATAAAGTGACATGCTTGCAGAGTGTGTCAAAATATTTTTATTTTTTCCAGGTTAAAGTAGATCAAGATGTCGCCACATATGGGAAAAGGTACACGTTATTTCGACAATGTGTCATTAATTTAAATGAGTGCAGATTGTATACTGAAGTTAAAAATATAATTTTGTTTATCTTTTGTCGACATTTGATTTTCTTCTAATACTTTAATATAAGCAAATAAAGTAAATGCCTAATTCTAAAGTGGTAGCAACCCAGTAACCCCTACGATCCCCACTAACCCCCCCAACCCCCACAACCCCCACCTAAAGAGGTAGTACTCCCTTTACCTCCACAACCCCATGACCCCCATAACCCTCTAACCCCGACAACCCCCACCTGAAGAAATAGTACCCCTTGGACCCTTTCAACCCCCACGACCCCCACAACCCCCTCACAACCCCCCTCCCCTACCTGAAGAGGGAGGACCTCCTTGACCCTCAATAACCCCCACAACCCCACCTGAAGAGGTAGTTCATGACGATCATGATGACAAGCACGATCCCCTCGGCAACCCCCATGGGGATGAGGGGGAGGCTCTCCCCCTCCTGCAGGAGGTGGCCGCCCTTCGTGCGGGTCACCTTGACCCACTTCCCTGACCCCCCCTTCACGGCCATCTTGGAAGGGGGGTTCGCCTTGCCACCCCCACTGGGGGGGTGGGAGGAGGCGGGCTGCTGCTCGTACGCCATCATCGTGGGGGACCTGTGGGGGTAAAGGGNTAATAATTAAACTTTAATAATAATGATAATAATAATATTCATAATAATAGTAATAATAATAATAATAATAATAATAATAATAATAGTAATATGCGTTTAAAAACACGTACAATGAATTTCTAATTTTATTTCCAAATATTACAAAAAATAATTTGTAATTTTTTATATATAAATTTTTTTTTACATTTTCAAAATTATTTATTCTGTCAATTGATTCACAAACAACAAACAACATAAAGTGAAGTTAAAGAAAAGTGTTGTAAAAAATTAAAGTTACAGAGACGCTATTACTGTAAATTTATAACGGAAAAGTGGTGGTTTGGCACTAACACTTGGCACTAACCGTAAGCACTAACAGTTGCACTGCCACTAATAACAGTCACTAACATTTAACACTAACCGTAAGCACTAACAGTTGCACTGCCACTAATAACAGTCACTAACAATTAACACTAACCGTAAGCACTAACAGTTGCACTGACACTAATAACAGTCACTAACACTTAGCACTAACACTTGGCACTAACTGTCCGGCTGTGGGCCGGCTGGGCTGTTATCTTGCCTTATCTCTTGCGTATCTCGGACACAAGATAACCGTCATTCTCTGCAGGTGTTATCAGGGAGCTGTTATCTGTGGGGAGAACAATGCTATTGGGCTGTTATATAGGAGCTGTTGTATATAGGGATAACAATGTTATTGGTCTGTTTTATATGAGCTGTTGTATATAGGACAACAATATTATAGGGCTGTTATATAGGAGCTGTTCTATATAGTGATAACAATACTATAGGACTGTTATATATAGGGATAACAATGTTATAGGGCTGTCATATAGGAGCTGTTGTATATAGGGATAACAATACTATAGGACTGTTATATATAGGGATAACAATGCTATAGGGCTGTTATATAGGAGTTGTTGTATATAGGGATAACAATGCTANCTACTGCTAGATGTGTATAAGAGACAGGTTGTATATAGGGATAACAATGCTATAGGGCTGTTATATAGGAGCTGTTGTATATAGGGATAACAATGCTATAGGGCTGTTATATAGGAGCTGTTGTATATAGGGATAACAACGCTATACGTGCTCCAGCAGCCATTGAGATAACAACGCTATACCTGCTCTCCAGCAGCTATAAGGATAACAACGCTATACCTGCTCCAGCAGCTATAAGGATAACAACGCTATACCTGCTCCAGCAGCTATAGAGATAACAACGCTATACATGCTCCAGCAGCTATAAGGATAACAACGCTATAGCACATATATATAAATGTGTATAATAATAATATATATATCACATGACACATGTTTTTTCCCACGCGTCGGCACGCCATTCATAAATACGAGGGGGGGAGGGGGGTACTATTGAGGGG